AGTTGCAGATTAGGACAAACGGAAAAATCAGCAATAGCGGAGCACGCACTACTAGACGGCCACCAAATACGCTTCGACGAAGTTGACATTCTGCACCAATCTGAAAGATACTACCCGAGACTCACCAGGGAGGCCATCGAAATATTTAAACACCAAAACAATTTCAACAGAAAAGAAGAAATTACGGCACTCAATCCAGATTGGAAGCGCGTTTTGCGCCAAACAGCATGTGCGCCGAAGCGTTGGAATCCCCACCCATCCCCCACGCATGAGCACACACGGCTGGGCGGCATAAATACGACTGGGAATCCAGCAGTTGAATCATTCTTAGTCGGAAAGCACGGGAGATCACTTCGCCCACTGCCTCATCGCCGAAACGTCAGGAAGAAATTCCGATAGACCACGGCTTCAAAGCCCGGAAAACATTTCTAAATGTAATCTGACCGGCCGTGAAAGCCTTCATAGTCTGATCTCATAAAAAGTTATTTTATTTTTTATTTTATTGAAAAGGCAATTGTATGCTATATCGTAGCTTAAGTATAATTTGGGGTATATGGGCACCGCTGCTGGCTCAAATGAGGAGCAATTTGGAAGTCCAATTTTCGACCCCTTTCAAAATTCTACCAGACCATAAAGCACACCAAACAGTGAGTTTCTGGATATGACGGCGTCTTAACAATTGTGTCTGGATTTTTGTCGCTCCGGCAATTTGTTTATTTACGCAACCATTGAGCCAAAAACGATTATGTCGACCGTAAAATGGACGTAGCGCACGGTACGGTGGCCAAAAGAACAGTGATTTGCGAAGTAAATTGTCGAATTGGAAATGACAAAAATCGAAAATCCGCAAGCATTTTATTTTATAATTTTTTTTAAATATTCTCGCAAATCTTAAAATTTTGTAATAAATGTCTATATTGTATTTCTGTATATAATATTATTATTGTATATTCTGGCACTCATTGTAATACTACATCCAAACATTTTGCAATTTTATACTACACTCCCCTACCTTTTGATGTAACTACCGGTTATTGATATATAAATACAGGCTTAATTGACTTCAGACAGTGTTTTAAACATGTATCCTATTCGTAAAGACTTGCCATTTTACGCCAGTCTGCGAATGTTGGAATCAATTGGATTTTATTCAGAAAATACCAACGGTTTCAAAAAGAGATCCATAGTGAGAACACTTATCTTTTGCATATTGTGCTGGAGTATTATCCTATTGTCTGCAGTACTTTTGATTTATGAAAACTTGAATGGTAATTATGACAAATTACATTTGTATACCGGTTTACAATGATGCATATTTTCCAATACCCAATGTCTATCTGTTGTTATCCCGCAGACATACCTTTAAATCTAGGTCTTTCGTCTCTTCTAGAAAATGCCGCTAGGTCAGCTTTTTTGCGGGAAAAATCCCACCATTCTTGTTGTCGAATGAATTCAGAATTATTCTACTTGGAATGTATGTGTCCGAGCTATATTAGTTGTTTCTTCTTAATATCTTCCCTATGTTCCGTTCTACTCTCCATGATATTATACTTTCGTTGGCAGCGCTTTTCATTCTCATCCTTACGCTTTTTTGCAGAAATCCATTTCCATTGCTTTGAAAGATTGCGGCCAAATTACTATACACTATTAGGAATACATTATTTGTTGCCTTTGAATCATTGTTACTTATGTGTTTTAATCGCATAATCTTTTGATTCCTTGTGTCAATAACTCACCTAGTGCTATTAAATGCTTCATTATTTTCCAGTGCTGTTTGTTTCCAATGCACGCATATTCTGGTAAACTGATTTTCACCTCTAACCATCATTTTTTTGCAATATTCGGTTAATTTTCTTATCATGTAGTTCAGATTTTGATAGTGGTGGTGTGCAATGAATGTTTGATCGTCCGCGAGTCCGATTTGAGCCGTACACCGTTGGAGAATGTTAATCAACATTTGATGTTGATTTGTGCATATTTGCATTAATTTTCAACCGCTTATATAACCTATCACTAGTTATCACAAATTATTTAAGCAGCTAAACTTTAATTTTCAGATAAAAATTATGCCTCAGTGTTCTTTAATATAGCTGTTGCTGTTGCATCAACAAGTACTTATTGCTGTACCCTACTGTTTGTAAAGTACCAAGAAAAATGGTCGGACATTCTAACAGCTCTAGTGAATTACGAAAAGTTTGGGAAACCTCGACGGTACAATCAATTAAAGGAACGTGGAGACAGAGTTGCTATGGCTTGTTGGGGCGGAATTTTAACTGGTGTTTTTCTCTATATGTTGTTCGCAATACTGCATGAAAATGATTGTGAATTGGTAATATCTATTTAGTCTTACATTTATATAATCTGTATTTTCTCCACAGTTGATATTTATTTCTGGAGTTATCCGAAACCGAAAATAATGCCAAGTCGATTAAATAGCAAATATACCCTGCGGTTAAAAAGCAATTGCGCTTTAAAACCTTTGTTACTACTACTACTACTACTTTTCGTACTTCTGACTGATTTACGAAAGTCCAAAGGCCGCAAATTTGATGCGAGCCTGAAGACCACTTTATACTATTTAATTATACAGAAGGTCCGGAAATGGTGCTACCAACACGAGGTAGATCTGGAGCAGAAATGAGTGCGATAAGTTCCTAAACGATTTTTCTAAAACTCAATAATAACAGATCTACAGTGCGTTAAAGTTAGATAATAAAAATTAATTTTTTGAAATAACTTTTAAATTTAAATAACAAAATAATATTTTGTTATTTAAATGTTTGTTTTCAAATTTGCCACTGTTATTACCTATGATCATTTGGATTATTGTTTAAAAATTAACATTTATCCGTTTGAGAAGATCCGTTGTTGAAATGTTGAACACACACATGTCATCTACTTAATAATCAAAACTTTTTTGTTATTCGCTTTCTGTTGTGCATGGTTTCAAAATATAAAGAGGCGCTCAAAATTGCATAAAATAGGTTTGAAAAAATGAGCGGATTTCGAGAAAATTTAATTTCCTTGTACAGCAAGTAATGTAAGTATAATAAAGCAGGTTAAATTATTTCCAACGTTTCAACAGAACGTGCCATGGAAGTAAGTGAATATCAGAGATTTCATACCACTACTTTAATAGTTCTCTATCTATATCACTATTCTGTTTATAGCTGCCAACTCTTTTGTCTTTTTGATTTCGTTCATCCATATATCCAGTATTTTGAATCCGACGTCCTCAAACTGAGTCCTATAACTTTAAATATGAACCGAACAGCTTCCAGTAATTTGAGTATTTCTGTAAATAGTATCAATAAGCTATGGCTATGTCACGCAAAATCACTAGTTATTTGTTTTAATAAAATTTAATATTGAAATTTAAATTTCTTTGTTAAAAATATTTTCATGATAAAATAAGGAAACCACACACAAACGACGTAATTTAGAAATTGTATATACTTTTGTATATACTTTCCTGACTGTGTTTCAATTCCAAATCCAAATTAATTCCTGGGTTTCAGTCATTTATTGTCGTTATTCATAAATTAAAATACGTTTCGGTGTATTTTTCCACCATAATCAGTTTTTCTAAAATAACAGATAGTTAAAAAAA